TGGAAGCATTACTATAAGATTAGGGATATTGTCTGTATAATTATTGTTTTATAGCAGTGTTTTACTATAGGAAAGCATTGCAAATGAGGAAAAAAGGGATTGTTAATGGTCAGGAATGAATGGAAGCATTACTATAAGATTAGGGATATTGTCTGTATAATTATTGTTTTATAGCAGTGTTTTTACTATAGGAATGCATTGCAAATGAGGAAAAAGGATTGTTAATGGTCAGGAATGAATGGAAGCATTACTATAAGATTAGGGATATTGTCTGTATAATTATTGTTTTATAGCAGTGTTTTACTATAGGAATGCATTGCAAATGAGGAAAAAAAATGATTGTTAATGGTCAGGAATGAATGGAAGCATTACTATAAGATTAGGGATATTCTATATATTATTATTTTATAGCAGTGTTTTTCGATAGGAATGCATTGCTAGGAAAAAAAGGATTTTAATGGTCAGGAATGAATGGAAGCATTACTATAAGATTAGGGATATTGTCTGTATAATTATTGTTTTATAGCAAATAGGAAAGCATTGCAAATGAGGAAAAAAATTAATGGTCAGGAATGAATGGAAGCATTACTATAAGATTAGGGATATTGTCTGTATAATTATTATTTTATAGCAGTGTTTTTACTATAGGAATGCATTGCAAATGAGGAAAAAAAGGATTGTTAATGGTCAGGAATGAATGGAAGCATTACTATAAGATTAGGGATATTGTCTGTATAATTATTGTTTTATAGCAGTGTTTTACTATAGGAAACATTGCAAATGAGGAAAAAAGGGATTGTTAATGGTCAGGAATGAATGGAAGAATTACTATGAGATGAGGGATATTGTCTGTATAATTATTGTTTTATAGCAGTGTTTTTCGATAGGAATGCATTGCAAATGAGGAAAAAGGATTGTTATCAGGAATTTTACTATAAGATTAGGGATATTGTCTGTATAATTATTGTTTTATAAGTGTTTTACTAAGGAAATTGCAAATGAGGAAAAAAAGGTTGTTAATGGTCAGGAATGAATGGAAGCATTACTATAAGATTAGGGATATTGTCTGTATAATTATTGTTTTATAGCAGTGTTTTTACTATAGGAATGCATTGCAAATGAGGAAAAAAAGGATTGTTAATGGTCAGGAATGAATGGAAGCATTACTATAAGATTAGGGATATTGTCTGTATAATTTTTGTTTTATAGCAGTGTTTTACTATAGGAATGCATTGCAAATGAGGAAAAAAAGAGGATTGTTAATGGTCAGGAATGAATGGAAGCATTACTATAAGATTAGGGATATTGTCTGTATAATTATTATTTTATAGCAGTGTTTTTACTATAGGAATGCATTGCAAATGAGGAAAAAAGGGATTGTTAATGGTCAGGAATGAATGGAAGCATTACTATAAGATTAGGGATATTGTCTGTATAATTATTGTTTTATAGCAGTGTTTTACTATAGGAATGCATTGCAAATGAGGAAAAAAGGGATTGTTAATGGTCAGGAATGAATGGAAGCATTACTATAAGATTAGGGATATTGTCTGTATAATTATTGTTTTATAGCAGTTTTTTACTATAGGAAAGCATTGCAAATGAGGAAAAAAGGGATTGTTAATGGTCAGGAATGAATGGAAGCATTACTATAAGATTAGGGATATTGTCTGTATAATTATTGTTTTATAGCAGTGTTTTTTACGATAGGAATGCATTGCAAATGAGGAAAAAGGGATTGTCAGTGGTCAGGAATGAATGCAAGCATTCCTAAAAGAATAGGGATTATATGTGTATAATTATTATTTTGTAGAAGTGTTTTACTATAGGAATGCATTGCAAATGAGGAAAAAATGGATTTTTAATGGTCAGTATGAATGGAAACATTACTATAAGATTAGGGATATTGTCTGTATAATTATTATTTTATAGCAGTGTTTTACTAAGGGAATGCATTGCAAATGAGGAAAAAAGGGATTGTCAGTGGTCAGGAATGAATGGAAGCATTACTAAAAGAATAGGGATATTATATGTAGAATTATTATTTTAGCATTGTTTTCTACATGGAATTCATTGCAAATGAGGAAAAAAATGGATTGTCCGTGGTCAGGAATGAATGCAAACATTACTATAGAATAGGGATATTATATGTATAATTATTTTTATAGCATGTTTTATAGGAATGCATTGCAAATGAGGAAAAAAAGGGATTGTTAATGGTCAGGAATGAATGGAAGCATTACTATAAGATTAGGGGATATTGTCTGTATAATTATTATTTTATAGCAGTGTTTTTATAGGAATGCATTGCAAATGAGGAAAAAAAGGGATTGTTAATGGTCAGGAATGAATGGAAGCTTTACTATAAGATGAGGGATATTGTCTAATATAATTATTGTTTTATAGCAGTGTTTTACTATAGGAATGCATTGCAAATGAGGAAAAAAGGGATTGTTAATGGTCAGGAATGAATGGAAGCATTACTATAAGATTAGGGATATTGTCTGTATAATTATTATTTTATAGCAGTGTTTTTCGATAGGAATGCATTGCAAATGAGGAAAAAAGGGATTGTTAATGGTCAGGAATGAATGGAAGCATTACTATAAGATTAGGGATATTGTCTGTATAATTATTGTTTTATAGCAGTGTTTTTCGATAGGAATGCATTGCAAATGAGGAAAAAGGGATTGTCAGTGGTCAGGAATGAATGCAAGCATTGCTAAAAGAATAGGGCTATTATATGTAGAATTATTATTTTGTAGAAGTGTTTTACTATAGGAATGCATTGCAAATGAGGAAAAATGGATTTTTAATGGTCAGTAAATAATGCAAGCATTACTATAAGATTGGGGATATTGTCTGTATGATTATTATGTTATAGCAGCGTTTTACTGTAGGAATGCATTGCAAATGAGGAAAAAAGGGATTGTCAGTGGTCAGGAATGAATGCAAGCATTACTAAAAGAATAGGGCTATTATATGTAGAATGATTATTTTGTAGCATTGTTTTTCTACATGAATTCATTGCAAATGAGGAAAAAATGGATTGTCCGTGGACAGGAATGAATGCAAACATTACTATAGGAATGGGGCTATTATATGTATAATTATTTTTTGTAGCAGTGTTTTACTATAGGAATGCATTGCAAATGAGGAAAAAAGTGCAATCTACTTCACCCAATTTTTGTACAGCACTGACATCTGAATTTATTGTCGCGACGTCGCATTAAACCTTTCAAATTTGCATGTTGTGCAGTTTTCTTTTCCAGCGATGTCTGTATTGGCTAGCAGGATGTCGCTTTGGCCGGTAATTTCAGCCTGTGCTACACTCATCAATGTTTCCCACCACCATCTGGATTTGTTGACTAGATGTCGTACTGGGCAACTCTTTCAGCCTCTGCCATAGTTTGGATTTACTTTCTAGCAGTGTCTGGATGTTTTGACATTTTCAACACCGACTGTATTCCAGTTCCTAGCGACATCTGGATTTGCTGGCTGGACGTCACATGTCTGGGTGTGTCTGTACCCACCCATAGCCCAGATTTGTTTCCCATCTGGATTTGTTGGCAGAACGTCGCATTATGTTGGTTTCTATCCCCACCCATAGCCCAGATTTGATTTGTTGGCAGGATATCGTATTATCTGGATCTTTTTTCATTACGATAGCCCAAATTTTTTTTGCCAGCAACATCTGAATTTTTGTTAGGACATCTAATTGTCGAGATCTTTCTGTCCCTTCCTCTGCCAGTCCAAATTTGTTTTCCAAGTGACGTCTGAATTTGCTGTCAGCATTTTCCTTTTTTTTTCTGTTACAATCCGGCTTCTCAGCTTTCATTGCTAGGTACCTTTACCTTGTATGATGATTGTCCAGATTTGCACATCAGCGACTTCTGGATTTTCCCAAACCAAAAATTCTCTCTCAAACGTACAAGAAGTCGATGAAGGACCTGAATTCGATCCTAAAAGAGAACTTTACAGATTGTTTTGAATAATGGAATCGGCTGTGTGGTCCCAGGTTATGTACTTTAGAAGTAACTAAGTCACCATTGTTACGGAAATGTTTTTTTTTTGTTCATATTTAGTGAATGAATACTTTCCTTTCCTTTCTCTCATTCATTGTGTCATCTTGACAAATTGTCTTTTTACCATACCAACTCCTTCATCATTATGTAGAGTTCTCTCTCAGTCAGATAGTGTCCTTTAACAAGATTTGTTGATCTCAGTAGCGTCTTGCTTATCACTCTTCCTATTCGTAGGCACCATGTTACATTCGGGTCTCTTATTTCACTGATATCATTTCTTTTTGTTCCACTTAGTATTTGGGTTCTTCATTCTTCAGCCTTTAACTAAACTTCGTACTCCGACTAGCATAGAAATGTGTTATAAAATAAAATAAGACATATCTCGGCTGATTTACAGGCAAATAAACTAACTTACTCAAGAGCGAGAGCCGGATGTGAACGGGACAAAGCCCCGTCACAAAATGACCATTATCATCGTTTACAAATGTTCCCGACGCACAGGTTCCGGTCGAAAAATAAAATAATAATTAAAGTGTTCCCTTTTTCGTCCAATAAAAATGCTTCCCTCCTAATTATACTCGCTTCGGTTTCGAGCCTGTTAAGCCATAAAAAATGCCATAAAAGGGGTCACAGGGAAGTACAACAGGCAGTCGACAGGTGGCCAGGGAAGAGACCTGTCACGGTCAGGCCGAGCGGTCGGCAGCTGTCATCAGGGGAGTGCCAGCATCAATCTGTGTGAACTACTATGAGAGATCGACCTAGATCCGGAGCCGGCTTATGAACTATACCACAAGGTAGCTGTCCCAAATCCTCACGTTCCTGTCGAAATAAATCACGTAAATCTATTTCTGCTGTTGTCGTATTTCTTTCTTGCAACCATACGCTTGTCTATAACAAATGTTTAATAATTATATATTTTTTGTTTCTGTTACTCTTTTAGGTCTAGACTAATTTATTTATTTATTTTATTTTTAGAGCACTTCCTCCCGGACTTCGAAGGAAGCGAAAATGAACGAGAACTACTGTCTGCGAATTGTTGCCCTTCTGTCAACGATAATTGCATTGGTACTTGGCATTTGTTTAATTATTACTGGAATACAAAATCATAATAAAAGAACCATGAAATGTGATACTTCCACAGATCCGACTCGCGACTTTAAGAATCCCGACTTTCTTGATGATCTTACTCCGACCGAAATGGAAAACGTCCGTGATTACCTTTACCGACAGAAGTCATTAAATATTAAAAAGACTGCAGTTTGGAACTTAAATGGTACCTATATTTATACAATGACACTATTCCAGTACCCGAAAAAAATGGTTCTGGATTATTTAGACGGTAGAATACGAGCTCCAAAGAGAAAATCAAAGGTAGTTCTATATCGCGGAGACCTCGTACCTCCTCGGGTTGAAGAATACATTGTGGGTCCTGTAGACAATCCGGACTCACATGAACTTTACAAAAATCCTATATACCGTCAGTACCCAATTCCATTTACTTCCCGGCCATTTAACGAAATTGAATACTATCTTCTGCATGACTTCGCCAACAAAACGCTTGAGTATCTCTACCCTGTTCTGATGGGTAGCTATGGCAGCTCTTACCACAACTGCACGGGTGAGAACTGCGTCACTGTCTCTGAAGTGACGCCTCCGAATTTTTCACCAGACTCAAGGACGATATGGATGATGACATCACGTAAAGTTGAAGGCTACTATATTACCCCACTCGGATTAGATTTTCTTGTGGATCATAAATCGATAAACCCGAAAGATTGGAGAGTGCAGATGCTTCTTTACAATGGACAAATATTTAGCAGTCCTAAGGAGTTGTTACAAAAATACCTCGCAGGAGAGGTAATCCGAATTATCGTCTTAAAACCGGATTTAAAAAACTTGTATTCGTCCTTCAAACAAAATCCCCACTCCACAGCCATTCCACAAGCCGGCCCACGTTTAATTGAACCTGCAGGTCGACGATTCACAGTCAAAAACCAACAGGTCGAATATATGAATTGGTCGTTTAAATTTGGAACTGATGTCGCTAAGGGAGTTCGTCTAACTGACGTTCGCTTCAAAAACGAACGGTTGGCTTTTGAGATTGTCCAGTCTGAGACCTGCGTCTTTTATTCTGCTTATCATCCAGTCGTTTACACGAGTGTCTATTTTGATTCTTCATGGCTACTCGGATTAAATTCAAAACAGCTCACTCGTGGGGTTGACTGCCCAGATACAGCCGTATATTTGGACAGTTATTTTTTTATTAGCGACAAACCGATCCGTGTTAAAAACGCTATTTGCATCTTCGAAAATAACCCAGGCATTCCTCTGAGGCGACATTACACAGTTACCCGATCAGATGATACAATATACGGTGGAATCATTGATTATCACTTAGTTTTCAGGAGTATCGCCGTCATTTGGAACTATGATTACATATTTGATTTTAAATTTCACCAAAACGGACAGCTAGACGTAGTGGTCAGCTCAACCGGCTATGTAATGTCAGCTTTTTCTCATCCAACAAAGCGAAAGTACTCTAATCCAATCGCTAATAACGTGATGGCTATGTTGCACCAACATCTTTTTCATTATAAGGTTGATTTAGATATTGGCGGCTTAAAGAACAGGTTTTCTTCATTGGACATTCGAACGGAAACGTTGTCGAGGCCAGATTTTCACCCAAACAATAAAACCCAAGCATACGTTGTGGAGACCTTAAGGAGAACAGAGAGAGATGCCGCGATAAAGTACAATTTCAATGAACCAAAATATTATGCTTTTTATAAAAAAGGCGACAAAAACAAATACGGTAGTGAGCGTGCATACAGAATTAGCAACCAGGGAATGTCTAAATTCTTGTTTCCGCAGACGAGCATTTACAAGGGCGCCAGTTGGGCTCAATATCAAATCGCTGTGACGAAGCAAAAAGACGCAGAAGAATCGAGTTCTTCGATGTTTCACCAATTCAATATGCTAGATCCGATTGTGTCGTTCGACGATTTCATTAAAGACGATGAGCCCATTGTTGACGAAGACTTAGTGGCGTGGGTCACCATGGGAATACATCACATGCCCTCAACAGAAGACGTGCCATCAACAACGACTAGTGGAACGCAGTTATTTTTCTCTTTAAAGCCGTACAACTATTTTGATGAATGTCCGAGTCGCTTATCCAGTGACAACATCCATATTGGCGTAGGCGATGACAATCAAGCAATTATCGACACTTCGAAAACAGTCCTCAACTTCACCTGCACGCCACAGTATGCCGGTTTCTCGAGTTATGTTCCTGATGATTAATTTTCTTCCTATTAGGTATGTGCAAAAGTTCCCAGCACTACAGTACTACACAGCAGTGGTTTTGCCTAAGGCATATACAGAGTCTTATAGAGACCATCTCTCTTCAGACAGGATTTGAAATCATAGCTGTCATTTTCCTAGACTTGTCCTACCAATGCTAGAGTGCCTTGTCTGCCATATTATTTCCTGCATGAACAGATGAGACGGAATCATTCCCTATTTCAAGGGCATTAGTGCGAAATAAATGGAAAGCTCGGCAGTAATTTGAACTCGAACCCCCAATTTTATCTTCAGTCTCGATAACCATTACGTCATCAACAACTCTTCAAATGCACATGACATTAAAACACAATCGTGATTATATAATCCTGTATAGAATATAGTATAGAATAGCCTGGCTACAGAGGTGTCGTTAATTTGGTTCTGTATCAAGCATGGTTGAAATGGATTGATTCTATTGTTATCGTTACGACCATTTTTCTGATGGCATTTTTTGAAATATAATTTTTTCCTCCCCACTTTTTTTTGTTGTATTTTTTTTACAGATTGTACACCTGACGATGGTTTAAGAATGAATCGGCATTGTGGATGTTACGTTGTTCTAAATACGTAAAGAGCACATAGTAAGAGTGTTGCGTTGCCGAAGCGAGCAAGATCGAACTGAATTCTTTCTATGGTATCGATCTGAATCGAGACTTTTGAAGAAAGCTTCTAGACATATGGCTACAGACGGAGAGAAGCCCCTATCCCCTCCAAAAACCTTTTTTTAAAACAAGAAATGATACTACAGCGAAAGTACGTGGATAGATAAGCTCATGTTTGGGTGGATGTGGCTCTGTCACTCTCCTTATCTTTACCTTCTTGGCTGGTCCACACAAATGAATAGCATTTCGCCTTCTTTCACATATCAGTCTTAATTTTGGCTTTCCATTGATCAGAAGCCACGACAAAAAGACTGTCTCCAGTATTATCGTCCTATTCACCCCCTTTTCTTGTTACAGGTGTTCAGTTTGCCATTAAAAAATTAGGGAAACTTGACTTTTTTCCTCTTACCATCAAAATTTACAGTCTTCCTTTACTACGTACGCAATCATTACAGTAAATGAACCAGTCCTGCTATTTTCTACCAAATACAAGTACCGTCTGGAATAGTCATACCGGTCGGAAATTTTCAACTTATAAAATAAGCGTGCCGGTTCAAATAAACGTTCCAACGGGATTTTATTATTATAAATTTAATAAACGTGGAACAAAATAATCGTACCGCAGAGAAATTTTTCTCCCCCGAATCGATACTTCAAATATACAAATCAACCATTCGCCCTTGCATGGAATATTGCTGCCATATATGGTCTGGGGCACCTTCTGTTTACCTCGGCGTTCTTGACAAGATCCAGAGACGGATATGTAATATAATTGGGCCTGATCTGGCGTCTCGTCTACAGTCTCTCTCTCACAGACGCGCCGTCGCCTCTCTCTGTCTTTTCTACAAATACTTTCATGGTAATTGCTCCGCTGAGCTGCTTTCACTGGTTCCCAGACTCCATGAATTCAAGCGCCCTACGAGGCTGGCATCCCGCTCTCACCCTTACACTGTAGAAACTTTTAAATGTAGCCATCTCTTTTACTGTAATAGCTTCATACCTCGCACCTCTCGCCTGTGGAACACCCTTCCCAATTACTGTTTCCCTGAGAGCTATAGTCTCCAACTATTCAAATGTAATGTCAATCGACATCTCCAGTTACCTTGATCTATCCACTATCCTTCTCCTCATTCTTTCTTCTATCATTCCTATCTGCTCTCGCTCCAAATCTTCTGCAACCCCCTGCATCCTAGTGGCTTCACGCCTTGCTCAGGGCATAATGCTTAAAAGAAAAAAAAAATTTGAAAATAAGTGCGCCGTACCAAATAAGCCACGTGACGGTGAGAAATTTGAAGGAAACAATTTAATCGTGCCGGCACTTGTATTTGACATATATGAGTATTTTTTAAGATCATAGGCTTTACCAACGATTCTTTTTTTTTCTATGTGCCGTGTCTTTTAAGGACGTGGACTATTATGGCCCTCCACACTTTCCCATAAAATATCCGGACTCATTCCTCATCAGGGTTCATAAATTTTTGTAGCCGAATTACTATCCAAACGCAGACGTTATCAATTTCCTGAAGGGGTCGGTGTCTTGAGAAATAAAATCCTTTAAAATTCTTTAACGAAGTTTGAATGAAGTAACGTATTCCTTGCTAAAATGTTCATAACCTCGATTTCATTGCCTCTGGAATATGGGAAAAAGAAATTACAATATCAACTATTGGACATGATTGTTTTTATTCTATGTATTTAGGTGGAGAAATGCTTCAAATTGGAAAAAGCTCCGATGAAAATAAAAAAAAAAACAAAAAAAAAATGTCGATAAAAACATAAGACTAAGCTCATACATAACATCACCGTTGATGAAAAACAATGGTAACCCAATGCAGTCTACGAACTAATAAAGCGAATAATAAAGATCTACTCGGGTTGAGCTAAGTTGAAATCCAACAAACATTAATGGCTTTGATACAAACAAAATCATGCAGTTTTATTTTTTCATTACGTCTAGCTCGATCATCAATTATTTTAAAAGATCATAATGAAAATAAAATAAAACCTGTTCTTGCATATTTTAATTTTTGAAACTTAAAATACATTTCTCATATTGGCCTTTTAATTCGATTTTTGCTATTTATTTTCATTTTTATTTATCCTATAAAAACCAGAAGACAATATATAACAAGAAAACTAATAACTAAATCATAATATTTTAAATATGGTGTTTGAAAAACCCCATGTGACAATATGCCACAATATTAATGTAGGATGATGTAATTTGGCAATTGCATTACTCATTGCTCTATGATTAATCTATACAAAGACAAAGGTTGCTAAGAACTACAAAGGATAGAAAGCTATGGAGGGCCATGATTACCTGAAGAACAATTGGGTAATCACCTAGAAGAAGACGAATCTAGAATTCTTATTGATACATTTAACTCTATTATAGAAAAAATATATGATTTAAATCATTAAAAGAAAAAATATTTTTACCATTAATTATATTGTAAGAAAGGCTTTTGCTTTTTATATTATTAAAGGAAATAACAGAAAAAAATCTTAACAGCAAACAAAGAAATAAAAATCAATATATTAGCAGCCTGATCTCTTCTAATGAGATAATCGCTTATTCGCATAGAATAATACACCATGTTACCAGAACAGTAGAATATCTCATTAGTAAGTAGGGAATATCAGGCTGCATGACCAATAAATGTATAACGCATTGTATTTTATTATTATATTTTTTTAAACTCATTGAGTGTTCAGTTCAAACTAGTAATGGCCGATGGCTTACACAAGAGATCAATTTCCGTCAATACTCCAGAAATTTCCTTAATATTCTTTTTTCAGTAATATCATCTTCAGGATGATTTCAATCCATTTTATGAATTAAAGTTATTTCAGGTTTTGCGCAAGGCTTTTTGTGGTTGCTCCTAGTGCTCCAATGATGACCGGTACTACACTCACCTTAATTTTCAAATCTCTGATGATAATTATCCACTTTGGTACATTTAAAAAAAAATTCATCCAGTCATTCGTTGGACTAGCGAAATTCATTATGTGTTACATGCATTTTACCTCTTTTTTTTCCACTAGATTTGATCTACGGTCCTGGATTGGGTGATCTACGGTCCTGGATTGGATGATCTACGGTCCTGGATTGGGTGATCTATAGGCCTAGATTGGGTGATCTGCTTGGATCTCAAAGTCCCAGTTATATGCCTTTCATTCTCTGGGATAGATTCAGGTTACTGCGTCTATTGATTGCACGATTCTCAGGCATTTCTCTTTCTACCCACTCATGCATACTTTTATACGCTTTATAATAAAATTTTATATTTTTTAAAGCTTAATTTTTTTTTTTATTCATTCTCGTTTTTAATATTCAATATTAACTAAGATTTTTTATCATAGGTCATTATTAGCAGCACTGATTTTCCGGGAACTGAGAACGAGACAAAAATTAGAAGCGAGCATTTAAATTTCAGGCCCATTTGTCTGATTTATTCCCTGTTTGATCACATGTGGCGTTGTGCAAGACACAAGTTTAATATCATTTTTCCAACAGTTGGTGATGCTGCAGAAATTGCTTTTATACTGAAACTTCCCACAGTAGAAGTCTCGATAGCCACTCAAGGTAGAGAGCTACAATCAACAAAATGGCAATGATGAACAAGGTGTGTGATATGAATAGAAGAGAAGATACAGATTATGGGGATATGGATGGATCATTATGATTGATTCTTGACACAAAAAGGTCAAGAGAGAAGAGGTCAAGAGGTCAAGATAGAAGTGTACAGAGAAGTAAACAGGGAGGAATTTGTTTCGCAATATGGCAGTTCTTAGGGAAAAGCTGAATAGAGTTTTTTTTACATTTGGAACACAGAAGAAAGGAGGAGAATTCGACTCTGTGGATGTGGTATGGCATGTCCTAACTGTAAAAATCTGAACCGATGAAAGTAAAGAATATGGAAAATGCATAAACAGGGAACTAGAGGTATAAAACTGATGTAATGGAATAACCTGTCACCTCCATGAATGACTACTGTATAGGTAGTAACTGACCTATAAGTATCTGTAAGTCAACGGACTACAGAGTCTAGCTGCAACCTGTTCCAGCTAGCCAGTCGAACTCTCTGCCTTTGGGCAGAGAGGAACCTGGACGAGGCTCCACCAAAGGGCAGAGTCTCGTTCGGGGAGGTCGACTGCCCCTGAACCCGTTTATAACGGGTTCGAAAGGGAATATTTTTGGCCGAGCCTAAGGGCTCGGAGAACCCGCGTTAAACCGGCCTTGTGCCACATGTAACCCTCGTGGGGGGGGTAGCTAAATATACTAGCTGGAACCTGTTCCAGCTGTGCTGGTCAAACTCTCTGTCTTTTTATCCCCAGACGAGGCTGTGTCGA